AGGACAGCTATTCATGTGGCTTGACTCTGTAGAACAAAGAGCAGCATTATACAATTTGCAGCACTTCCAATAGCAAAGGGGAAAGGGAGAGGTTGGAAAAAAATAGGGACAGGACAAGTGCGGATGAAACAAAGACAAAATCTGGCTTGTACTCTAATTCATTTACTTCCTCTTTTCCACCTCTTTGTTGCTGCAAAAAGGTCCCTTGCCAGTAACACTCCTCTGCAGGATCGTACTGTACTCTGGCTGGCGTGGATTATTTTTAGCTATTGCTGTGCAGCTTTCACCTTGACTCCCTCTGTCTTGACATCATAATTAACATTTCTGTTAATAGTAACAAAGTTCAATATTAATAAGGATCTCTGACAGAAATCAAAATTCAGCGCTGGAGCGGTAATGAATTGTACTGCATTGCTCATACAAGAGACACCTTGCCAATCAGCATCAAATCTGAATCTCCTTAATGATGCTAATCCCCTGAAGAAGGATATTAGAGGCGCTGATGCAACACGTAGAAAATATACATTTTGATGTGAGCGTCTGGAGGATTAGTGGACTCCTGCAGGTTTTTTTTTTTTTTTTTGTTGTTGCCAGTATCACTATAAGTTGGCAAAAGCTCCATCACAGGGGTCAACAGGCAAATTAAAGTTCTCATGAGGACTGAGGCAAAGGCTGCTGCCTGTGTGGTCGTGCTCATGCCTTTAAAAAAAACAACAAGGTTAAAGCTGACTCCTTCCCCTTTGGAGGCCATAATGCCCAATGCAACATGTGCTAATATTCTACTTATTGATGAGATTTTTAAATGACCTTCAAATTCAGATTTGTGCAGCAGTTTTGACACTTTGCATTAGAGTGCCTGTTTTATGAATTCTGATATAAGGCTGAATAATCACATTTGCCTAACGCCCATCAACGTCACATTATGTGATAACTTTTTTTTTAAACGTTTTTCTTTTTTTAAAGGCCCTTAAAACCCAGTGATGGACACAATCGAGACAGAGCTGTGGCATAAAAGCGAAGGTATGCTGGATATTTGGTCATGTGTATTTCGGTCTAAATTTCCAGGGGATATTTTAGATGTTAATAGCCCTGAAGTGGTCTCGGTTTCTTATTTAATTTCTCTCGCCTTCTTTAAATGTAATTCGCCCACAGACTGCGCCGCGAGGCTCTAAACCGCGCACCAAAATCTCTCTCATCATTTCCACAGCAGAATGGAAATGCAAATCGTGCGCGCGGGCAATGCCCTTGACAGAACTCACCACTGCACACAATTAGCACGCGCACTCTGACAGAAGTTAGTGACGAAATGTGAGGTCACAGCGGCTGCGTGGCACACCATGTGAATGTGTTTATTTTACAAAATAAAAAAAAGACACTATCATGGACTGCAAATTTATTTTTTAAACAGTATTATTAATTTTGTTCTTTATTGACAATTTAATTTAACTTAAGAGCCCCCCCAAAAACAACGCTCTCTGCTCTCCTTGATATTGTAGCTCTTAGGGGGAAAAAAACATTAATTTTTATTTATAATTTTTATTTGAATCCTTTTTTTGTCACTTTTATGAGTATATTTTGAACAATTAGTCTACCTAAAACATTGTTTTAATTTCTGAGATAATTTATACCGAACATAAACAACCATTGTTCTTATGTCCGCTCGGGGGTCTTGGGAGGGGGGTGTTAAATAAACCTATGTTGAGATTTAGCTGTGTTGTCAGAGAAGAACACAGCTGCCTCATATCGACACAATGATCTCAAGTGTAACCAACGAGGGGCGCTGTCCGTCTATCAGCTCGAAATACTTGACACGGATAGCCTCCATGATTGATCTCATCACTTTGGGCCATTTGTGTTTTTTCCCCTCTTTAATTAAAAATAACGTGTACTTTAATATTATTAATATTACATTTGAATATGTCATAACGAATTTCTGACGTCCATTTATCAGGCCTGAATACAGTTAGGCTAATAGATGCGCGAAACAAAGTTAAAAAGGAGGCTGTCATTGCAAAGAGAAAGCAGTTGTTTTGGTTCTATATCAAAGTAATAAATTAATTATAAAAGTAGCCTTTTTTTTTTTAACCACTTATGATGAAAAAAAACAAAAACACAGTTAGAAGTGTATTCTAAAACACGTTTACAAGTGAAATAAAAAAAGAAAAAATGACTTTTAGAATGTGTGTTCATGCACATAAATAGTGAAAAATAAGTTCAAGTGCATGTTAAAAATATGTCCAAACAAAGGAATAAACAATCTTAGGTGTAAACAAGTGGGCTGACTGCCTATTTTGTTCCCATATGGAAATGTGAATGATGCGTATAACTGTAGGCGTATTAGATAAATATTTAATGGAAAAGGATCCGTTTAAAACAGCCTCTGTGATAAAGCCGTGAGCGAACTTGCTTGGTGGTTGCTAATAACATTTCTTTCTCTTTTTTTTTTCCACCCGTTTCTTTTTAATCGCCAATCAATTCATTAGGAAACAATGCAGGTGAGCAGAATGAAAGTGTTGTCCCAATAAAGTGCATCGATGGACAGCTGGGCAGCGGCCGGCTGATTGACTTTGCCTTGACATCTGGGAGGCCCGCTGGCCCCTGGCACGCGCGCAGGCTGATGTCGCCATTTACATGCAAATTTAAGGAGATCATGAGGGCCTCGCCCCGTAAATTCACACAAAAAAAGAAGACGTCACCCTCAATACGGAGGAGGCTCGTCCCGGCGAGACGGGAGGTCTTCGGAGTCATCTTGGACATTTTTATTGGGGAGCTACGCGCTCCGAGGAGTTTGCTTTTTATATCAATGGTCCGGCCCGAATCTGTGGGGGTTCATTCATTGTGGCCATTGAATAGAAGAATGAGATAACAGTCAGCCATGTCATCAAGCGCTCATTTAAGTGATGCACAGATAGTTTGCACTTGTTTCCCATCGTTCCCCTCCATTACTTACCTCCAGCGTGCAAGAAAGGGGTTTTATTTAGCAAAGTGAGAAATGAGAAAATGTGATCCTCTTATTACAAGCCAAAGTTTTCATACACGCAGGCTTTAAAAAACCAACGAGGATCAACATTTTTCCTTTATTTTGATGCTATAACATTTTCACCTAATGATGGAGAGCGCATTTTCCACGGTGTAAGCCCACCACGCAGATGATCCCACAGAATGAGCTGAGACGGATTCAGGCTCCGCGCCTCAGTGTGCGCAGCAGCTGACTCCCTCTCTCCACGTCCAGATGGCTCCTGCACACAGATTTGCATTCATTTTCCTCTAATATCTTCTGAAATAGCGGGGGCAGCTGCATTTGTTGTCAAATACGGTTTAAAAGTCCCTTTCAGGACAGCATCGTTACCTACGTGACGGGTGTGGAGATCCATTTTCCCTCTCCAGTCAACAGTATCAGATCTAAGAGGATTTGTCTCAAAGTCTCCTAATTTGATAATCAGATTTAAATCGCCTTGGTGCGTGTAATCAGGGGTTAAGTTCTAATAAGCGACTTGAAAATGTGAAAGAAAAAGAAGGCAGTTCTGTGCAAAAAAGATATTTGCAATCTCGGTTGAGCAGACAAAATGTTTACAGCACGCGTCTCGCTTTGTTTCATCTAAAAGAAACAAGGTTTTTTTTTTCAAGGGCCCCTTTTAGCTTTTTTTCTGATTTTTTTTTCACAAATTAAAACTTTATTTTCTCTTAAATTATAATAAGTAAAATAAAATATACACCCTCATTTTGTGACTGGGCAATTTGGCAATAGATTGTGTGGAGGTGAAAGCAACAGCTTATAATTCACTTATCTTTGGCAGCAGCTATTAACCCTCAGCACCAGCTAGATAGATTGCTCAGGATACAGCACACATCTCTCTTCTTCCTCACTCCCTCCCTCCTCGCTCCCTCCATCCTCTCCTCCTTTTCACCACTAATGAACCGAATTGCCTGCTTGCCCCTCTCGGACAGAGTCGGACATGGAGGCAGTTAGGCTCTTTAAAAAAAAAAAAAAGATTAAGATGTGTCTGATTATCACTGGTTTTTACAGGACGTGCGTGAAATAAAGAAGACACAGAAGCGTGGATTTCCTCAAGTTTTGTTTAATGTCATGAGACTCTCTGATTATTTTAGACCCGTATGAAGAGGTCATAAGATTTGACATTATGTTCTGTAAATGGCACAGTGATGGGATTGATTTGTTTTCACATTGATATAGCCTCTGTGGTTGCTGAGAAACTGATTTCCAAACGCAACACACTCAAAAAGAAAAAAAAGAGAATCTCATGCTCTACGACACACAGGAAAACAACTGGAAGTCAATCATCTGTACTTAAAAATTCTCAATGAAAAATTAATGAAAATTAAAATGTATAAGGATATCTGATTCTCTGAAATGGGCTTAATATTAATTACATGTAACTTACATTAAAATAACCCACAGCATAGAGTTAAAAAAGCATAATACAAATACATAAAGACACATGATGTGCCATTATTGAAATATGATTTATGGCCTGTATCCACGCAGCTAGTCTGATGCTTTCGATACATTCTTCAACTAACTATCTCACCGAGTCACTTTGTAATAATAATAACACATTTAATCATATAAAAATGTCAATAACTATCCATTTAAATTCAGTTTCATAAAAGTAATCACAGAAATAGTTATTATTTCATCAGCGAAAAAATAAAAACACTGATTTCTGAATGCCGAGTACTTATGATATGTTATTATTTTATTTTTTCCTCGTTATGTGTGATGGTAACACCCGCTTGCATTTTCCATATGATGAAAAAAATCAAACTCACCACATATAGGGCCTAAGCAAGAGGAAAAGTGGAGCGAGTGAGTGTTTCTCAGGCTGCTGCACTACAGGGCTGAACCCGTATAGTTGGAGCGCCGCTGCCTGACAGGAACCGTCAGAGCTCCATATATGGTCAAAGCTCCACCCCTTCAGCGTCATATTCTGACAGCGCCTCTCCCGTGGGTTTAGAGTTTTGGCTCCCGGGAAAGATTTCAGTCCTCGGGGAAAGAGGGCTTAGTTTTGCATGTTCCCATCCATCGTGCACGACGCGAAAGGGCCCCTTATCCACATCTCCTGTGTACAAGGAACACCTCCACTGGTGATCAGCCTTTGCCTGTGTTTGTCTTGTGGAGAAGCAGCAGCACCTTTTCAGGAGTGGGTTTTTTATTCAACAAGAAGTCCTGAAGGTTTTGGATGCGGTGCTTCAGGGATGTGGGCACTTTGAGAGCAGCATCACCCACAAACACAAACAACTGCCATCGATTTTTCTGTGAATAGCACAAAAAAAAAAGAGAAAAAAAACAAAGAGGAACAATAGCAACACAAAAAAATCTTGTCTATTGAACAATTCACTTTTCGAGTCTGTGGATACCGCTCTAACTAAGTACAGCACTTTGAGAATTGTTCACATCGGACGGACTGAAGAGGGAGGCAAGACCTGTGGACCGGGTTTTCCCTCGCAAGTCTGAATCGGCTCGCGCTACTTATCCAGAGAAAAAAAACCAACCCTGAAGGATAACACGCTTTGGACGTTTTATTTCCCTAATTTCGCAGGAGGCTCTTTTTTTCCACGCAAATTGTCCTAAATGTTTGGGATTCAGGAAACTATACCGCGGGGTGGGACGACGATGAAGGAGGAACCGCTGGGTGGACTGAACTCGGTCCGCTCCTGGATGCACACAGCTGGGGTGGTGGATGCAAACACAGCCGCCCAAAGGTACGCATGCCAAAAGCATCTGATTTTTCTCACGCATTCCCTCCTCATCATATCGACCCCTCAATCCCCTGAATACTCTGTATCAATTACGGTCTCCCAATAAATGCCCCCCCTTCGGCTTTCCCCTTCTTTCATTACATCAGATTAGCCATTATTGTGACAAATCAAGAAATCTCCCCCGTAGACTCAAGCGTGCGTCTGCATCTCCAATGTTTCCATCAGCTTCTCCATCATCTAGCATCCCCGGTGTCCGGTGCTTAACCGACATGGTCTCTTGTTTTCTCCCCGCAGCGGTGTCGGCTTGGCACGGGCACATTATGAAAAGCAGCCCCCTTCCAACCTCAGAAAATCCAATTTTTTCCATTTCGTCCTGGCGCTGTATGACAGACAGGGTCAGCCGGTGGAGATCGAAAGGACAGCTTTTGTGGACTTTGTGGAGAAAGAAAAAGTAAGCGGTGTATTTTCTCTAGAAACACACTCACTAGCTCCCCTGCACATAATCAGCACATATCGAAATTATGTTCTCTGAAATGGCAATGGGTTACTAAAGGTGGATGTCACGTGTAATATTGATTTTCTTAAAAACTCAATGGGTTGATGACAGAGAGTCGTTTTAGAGCTGTTTCTCTTCTTTTGCACAAATAATATATTTTTTTTACAACTCCCAGACATGATCTGCAGTTATTGTGTTGATGCTGATTTTCACAAACTGTTTTCTGCAGGAACCAACCAGTGAAAAAACTAACAATGGGATACATTACAAACTACAGTTATTGTACAGCAATGGTGAGTTCAAGTGTTACTAAAATATTGCAAACACGTGCAAATATACCAAGAGGTGGTTCATCTGTTTGCACAACACCACATGTCATAGTAATATTTATTGCAACCATAACAGAAGCAATCAAATCATTCTATTAATTCAATCACTGTCTGCACACTCTGTAAAATTTATTGAGTGCGCAATTTCAGTTTGAAGGGCTTTCTTCTTTTTATTCAATGCCTAAAATTACTCAAACAATTACTACAACTGCTCTCCCTCTTCTTCTTGTCTCCCCAGGTGTCAGAACAGAACAGGATCTTTACATACGGTTAATCGATTCCATGACGAAGCAGGTAAGCTGCTGTTCTTCTTGTATTTACGCACAGTGCAGAATAAATGTGCTCACATCCATGATCCACCTGCGCAAAAAAAAAGAAGGAAAAAAAAAAATGAACACGCCGTGCAAATCGTCACACCAGAGATAAATATACAGCTCATGGTCTTCTAAAAAAAAAAAAAAAAATTCTGCTTGCAAAATGCAGTTGTGGCACAAAATAAAATCAAATTACCGGTGTAACACGAACAGACAGCTTCCATTTTGGCTGTTTACGTTTGGTCATATCATATTGCAAGACTCTAAAGTCAATTTCACCGTGCCAGAGTTGGGCTTTCTTTGCAGGCTCAACATTAAAATTTAAACACGGCGTCTGCTCCACATGATCTGATTTGACTTTCCCTGCTAAGACTCAAAGGTGAAGCTCTAAATGTATTAAAAATTTGCATTAGATAGCCTACCGTATTTATTTATACAAATATTGTTTTCCTGAGCTGCAATTCACTCTTGTTACCCAGAAATGTGTGTGACTTTTCACCAAACGCTCAGAATATGTTTAAATGAGCATCTAAAGCCAAAGCAAAGATTTGTAAGAGTATTTATAATTCCAGGAATAAAATCAGACGTCTTTATTTTAACTCTGCAGCTGCTTTTTTGTCATGAAATGTCGGGTTTTAGTCTGATCTTGTTGTGAATAGAGCCGTGAAGCCTGGGCCACTGGTCACAGACAACATTCCTGCGAATGATCCGAGTCAATGACGCAGAACAAGCAATTTATGGATTTCTGTTTCTACAGCAGCAAACAGCGACATAAATCAAACCAATAGAGATAATCGTCTGCATCCGAGAAATATAAGGAAACTGAAAACAGCAAAGGATATATCAGTTCAAGTAGGACAGATTTTTAAAAAAGGCAAGAGAGTGATGCGACCTGGTTCAGATATGTCACTTTTTCAAAGTCACATTTTTTTGTATTGGCCTCAAACGCACCTGAAATAAAAATTCAAAATTATCTCTATCGTAAAATAAAAATTGAGAAATAAAGCATTGTTTATTTATTAGTAGTTTTTTAAATATTTTTTATGAACATATATTAGAAAAATGTTGGTGTTTATTTTCCTGCGTGTACATTGATGCCGGTTAACTCTACGAGGGAGTGAAGTGTCTATCCTTAGAAGAAGGAAGGAGGGAGGGATTGAGGGATCGAGGGAGGGAGAGAAGAGCGGCAGAACTGATAGCTCCACGCCATCTGTTTCAGCCAATGCTCAAAAATTACTCAACCGTACCGCCAGACACCGCTTTTTATCCACAGAAAGATCATTGTTAGCGGCTCAAAATAAACAACAGATTGCCCATTAACACTTTCCCCCAAATATCCCCAGATTATAAGCATATTGATGACACTTCTATTGGATCTCTCCTTATGAAAACCTCTCTGTCTCTCTTCCCTTCTCTGTCTGTCTCTCTGAGCCACAGGATATTATCCAGATTAATAAAAAAAAATACAATTTGTAATTATTATCAGTGTATTCATACACTTTAATACTATATTTGCTCTCCTGGAATTACTGCCACTAGAAAAAAAAGTGTACTTTTATTATCACCTACATTTATGTCTTTTATTTTTCTATTTAGGTACATGTGACTGATGTTTTAATTAATTAATATAATTTAAACTAGCATGATTATCTTATCCATATTTATCACTGAGCCCTTAGACTTATGTCAAATATTCTCCTGTCCTGAAATCATGTGTATTCATGCCCTGCTTTATTTTATTAAGTGCAAACACAGCAGCTAATTATTTGTGAATTTATGTGAATTAATATGTGTTTATCAGTTTAACTGTGTTTTCACTCGCTCTCCCTCTCATTTCCTTTCAAAGGCCATCATTTATGAGGGCCAAGACAAGAATCCAGAAATGTGCAGAGTTCTTCTTACTCATGAAATTATGTGCAGGTAAGCAGATTTATTTTTTCTTTCTTTTTTTTTTTTTTTTTTTTACTTCGCCTCTGTCCATTTTGCAGATCCATGCAAAAAAAACAAAATCACCCCCCCCTCCCCCCACCTCCTCTTGGATAAGTTTTGACACTCATGATGTGATGCAGACTGTCCTGTGGTCCTTCAATAACCACAGAGGGAGAGAGAGTTGCTGTCATTTCTAACTTTGATATGATGTGATTCAACTTTGATAGGAATATGAATATGACAGAGAAAATCAACTGACTGTCTTTTCCAGTGAAGGGAAATGGAATGTATAATAAACAGCCAGTGACACAGAGAACAAGTTATGTTTTTTAATATGTAGTTTATTTATTCTTCACATTTTCAGAATTGTATGTAAGCCTGCCAGAGACAATGTGCCTCTCTTTTAGTTATGCACAGACGTCGCCTGCTATATATATATATTTTTTTTCTTTTCCCTCGCACACAGTCAGTTCTCGGTTGATCCCACCTGTCAACAATGATCAGCGAGCCTTTTAGCGTCATTTAACCACATAAATCTCAAGCTCTCATATTGCGCTGCTATTCAGCGGTGTCATTGATACTAAAAGGAAAAAACGCCTTTTGTTGTTATTGTCGAGCTCAGCATGAGCTTTGTGAACATTGAATTCGGATACTGTCGGTTAACCTCTCCTTTGTTGCACCGCTGCATTGTTCAAGTTACTGCTGGAGAGCAAGTGCAGCATGAGAGCTGAGAATGATTTGTCTTTTTCCATGCATAAACTCATCACTCACGCTCAATTTATACAAGCATCCATCACTTATTTGTGACACGTTGAATATGCTCGTGCTCTGGAGGTAATATTTTTTTTTTAGTCAGGGAGGAGTGCTGCAGAATAAAGGACTACTTTAACTGCTGCCTATTATCAGATAAGAAGATATGCATAATAAGATCAGTCATGATAAGAATTATCTCTTGATATCTTATTTTTTCTGATACACCAGATTTTGAATTATGCTTTCCCCTCGATACTAAGCAGCACCTTAGCCATAAAACACATCCTTATTATTGCAACTCAAAGTCATGTAAATCACACAGATATTTGAATAACGTGTGTTTGACTGACAGTTGCTTCAAAATCTTTGTTTTTCCCGCAGCACCATATGGCATAAATCAATCCCATTCACATATGTTTATATGTTTTCATTTCGAATCAAGTCCGGGATGATGTATTTGTTTATTTTTGCACTTTTGATTCAAGTCCCAATCAAAAGAAGTGCGAAGCAGCAACTATAGGCTCAGGGAGGAGATGGCTGAAACATGTGCTGGAAGATAGATTAGTGCTTTTGAGGCCATAATTGATAAATGCCCCGCAGAAATATTGGTTGAGGGTGGCACCTTGCATCTCCCTCAGAAATAGCAGCTTGGCAATTAGAGGTAAACAAAAGCTGAAGCTGTGAAAAGTGACTCCCCTGCCTCCTGGCCCAATCCCCACTCCCCTCCCCTCCAACACTAAGCCAAACAACACAACATGTTGTTTTCACCAGTTTTATCAGCCATCAGCATCAATGCAACGGATGGATTGAGTGGAGGAAATCTCATGGCTATTTTTTTTTTTCCTCCCTCATATCAAACGTCACTCCAAGGCACTTAATAAATGTATGTTGTTTTTTGTGCATTATTTATTTATTTTTATTTATTTAGAAAAGTGTTGTCTGCTCTGACACATACTGTCTCGTGTCCCCGTAGCCGATGCTGTGACAAGAAAAGCTGTGGAAACAGGAACGAGACTCCATCAGACCCTGTGATCATTGACAGGTAAGGCCGTGTGCAGCTTCCTCTCTGTTTGTGAGTGAGTGAGAGTGTGAGTGTGCACATGGACGATCTAGTGAACAAATGAGTCCCCTCCTGGCGTGCCAGACGACCTGGTCGCTCTGACTCGCGTGCTCTCAGTGTGGGAACCGTGGGTGACTCCTGTGTGAGTGGCTGAGGGGCGTCTTTCTCAGGTACCTGTGCACCGAGGGGCGGTCACCACCTGGATAGGGTTTGTTCAATCACAGGTGGTTCAATCACTAGAGGATCATGCTGGGAATACACCTCATTAGCTTAGGCAACTTCACATTTATTTGGCTGGCTTCCCCTCTTTGTTTACGACAGTGACGCTTACATTGTCAATAGTTGTTTTTCATTGACTGTTTCCTTCTTAGCTGAGAGCTAGATGCCGTTAAAGTTTAGAAGGGATAAACATTTTATGTGTGCTGTTTTGTTCTGCACCTTCAGGGAAGTTACATCTGCCACGTTTATATTCCCTTCATCACTTTCTAAAGAGGCAGAATAAATGGCCTGCTCTTTCCAGCGTTGGCATTTTTTTCTCACCCTGTGAAGCTATACGTCCCCCGTTCAGCCTGAATGTGTTTATGTAGTTGTGTGTTTAAGTGTGTGTATGTGTGTAAGGTGGATATAGGGGTGAGGCAGGGGGTGTAGTCTGAGCGTCGATCTCAATGTAACTCTCACCACGTAGTAGGGAGAGACAGCAATGCTAATGTTTGACTAGCCGGAATCACTGTTTGCTTAGCGGAGAATGCCTGGTATCTGACAGAGGGGACAACTCTCTTATTAGTAATCAAATAGGGCTGAGCAGTTGTTGCTGCCACTCCACTCCAGCGGCTTCTCATGCATCAGGAAGTAGGAGCTGGCTGCCCTGGGAGCCTGGATGGATTACCAGAGCTACTGCTGTCTGAACCCAAACTCACGCAGACACGCACGGAGAGACACACACACACAGACAAGGGCACAAAAAACACGCAGACAGAAAGACACCCACCCACACACACACACACACACACACACACACACACACATGCATGCTGCTTGTATGTTTATGCCTTTATGCTTCACTGTCATTGCATCACCTTTGAGGAAAGTTCTAAGTGGTTTTTTTTTGGGTTTTTTTTGCTTAATGTATAAGTCAAGTTGCATTTGTTAGTAAAAAGAACTGTAGTGTGAACATTTACATATAACTTGAGACGTCTACTTTGCCTAATTTCCGCTGCTTTTATGTCTGCTTTGTGTCGCTCTGCTGCCCTTTTACTGCTTAGAGTTTCGCACACCATTGTTCTTCAATCTGCGGGACAAAACATGTAACATAAGTACAATAAGCAAAATGAATGCATGGAGAATTAAAGTCAAGAAGAGGGGTGGGAAAAAAAAAGAAACAGGGTAAAAAGAAGCGGATGGATATTGTAAGCTCAACTGGCTCAGGGAGGGCTCGGATTTTCATTGTGACGAGTCTGAATAGGAGTAGAGTATCCCTTTCCTTGCACAATGAGCGGCTCTGTTGAAACACAAAAGCATATGTTCCTCATTAGACCCTCCCATTGTCTCCATGTCGTAACTATGAGCCCGTCAGCTCACCCTAACAGACCCACACAGGTTCCCAGTGACTGAGGGAGGCTCGCAGAGAGGGGTGCTTGTGAAAGGTTGCAGGGTTTGAGAAAGAGTTACGGACATGACCAGAGCGCACACTTGACTGTAAGCGCATACGTAAGATTATTTACAGCAATTACTCGACCATTCCCGCTGTGCATATGGGCAAGCTTTTAGCTAAAGCTTCCATGTTTTACAGCCATTCCTGTTACATCTGTCATTTTCTCATGCACATCATTACAGGCACCTGTGCTGCGGTCGCTCCTGGCAGAAACTGATTATTTCCAATTGAGTAGAACATAGTTGAGTGACATAAACCTAGAGGAGAGGTTTGATTGTTGAATCAGGCATGTCTCATCTGTCTACAATTACAGTATGTAAAAAAAACGGCTAGCACTGCCACATTTCCTCGAGAAACAGTAGCATGGTCGAAACCTTAAGAAACAGATTTGGAGTGAATCATTGATGGCGTTCAGTCGCTGTAACATTTTCCCAGATGGTAAGAGGGGAAAGCGCACACAGCTAGCTGGCATCTAGCAAGACATTAACTGGCGTTCCCATGGATCTGGCATATCCAACGGAGTTTGGGAAACTTATCATTCCAAATGTGTCCTATTTTCCTGCGGTCAAGCCAGACATCTGTTTACCCTATTTTCTCGCTGCGTTTTGATACAGATTTTCACTCAGATTTTCTGAAGAGGAAGGATTCTCTTTAAAAAAAAAAAAAGAAAAGTTGGTTAGATATAGGCCCAACAGCTGTCACAAAGTTTCAGCACTGCTTGGTCTTTTAAATATTTCAGCGCTTACATTTGATGCCCTTGCATTATTCATGCTCCTTTTTTGGATGATAAAAAGGGCCTATTTTTGTTGAATTTGGGTGACTTTATGTGTGTTATGACTGGAAATTTCAATATCTTTGGGGAAAATCACTACATAGTTGCTCTAGTCAAAAAAAAAGAAGAAAAAAAAAGCCCATTGTCTTTCAATAGAATGAGCGCACTTTTTTTTTCTTTCTTCCAACATCAACTGAGAAAATGAAAAAGACTTTTCGGTGCTTACATGAAATAAAAGAAACGGTACATTTATCTAGGCACTAATTGTAGCGCTGCTGCTGATATGACCGCATCACTTTGCAGTTGGGTGTAATCATCTCTCCCCTTTATAAATCCAGCAGTGCTACAGATGTCACATTTATAAGTTAATGGTGCCTTAAAGTAAGTGGGGGTGTAGGTTTATTCACTCGGTAATTTGAGTCTTTAGAATTATAGTGATGAGGTACCCAATATCTGATTAGATGGTTTTCCCATTTACAGTGCATGTAGCCAAACATAACTCAATTTGCGATGACTCTCCTGCTATGGTATCTGTCTTCACTCTCTTGCATATTGACTTTGTCTTCTCTTGTGTGAAAGATTAGATACATTGTTCGGGCTTACACATGGATTTTGTAATAAGACATTGCATGTTGTTGAAAGAGAAGAGAAAATGACTCATTCTGCGTGTCAGGGTTCAAAGGTCTGAGGAAAGCTGCAGCAATGTATGCAACAAGAACTGAGACGGACACAGAGAGAGAGAGAGAGAGAGAGAGAGAGAGAGAAAGTGTTATCAATGTGTATTCTGCCCATATATGAATTTTGAATTTAATACATGTTCATACAGTTTAACATCCTGTGTCAATTTAGGCTGCCATTCACAAACGGATTCTGGAGCAGACCTAAACGTGTCAGCTCTGTTTATTCCAGCGGCCGCGGCGCTCCCTTTCACTTCCTGTCACAAAGGTCAAAGAGCGGCGACCTTTGGAGTGCAGCCCAGCCACTGAATAATTCATGACATTGACTTGTTTTTTTCTCTTATTTTTTTCCCCTTGTCTCTCTCTTTTTTTTTTTTTGGTCAGCACACATGGTTGTGCTGTGGGAGGCTTTTATTCATTTAGCTCATTTATAAAGGCCTCAGCGCACCTGTTCGTGTGTTAATGCAATTAAATTTTGGCCTAATGTAAATTTTGCTTAGCTTTCTGTTATGTCCCTCATTAGTGCGCCTGTATTTTCTAAATGACTTTGCGTTATCGTTCATTTGTGGAACACCTACGAGGTCATTTCCCAGAGTGCACTTGACTTGTTGTCAAGTTGTTTACCAGGAACAAAAGAGCGCGGTCTTAAAGCGCCTCACATGTGGTTCCCTCGGCCTGCTAAGAAACAAATCGGAAAATTTGTGTGCTCCCATCTGGTTTTTGCAAAACCGTGATTACCTCCAAAAGCTGAACAAATGCCAGTATTTATAAGGTCAGCCCTTTATGTGGAAATGTGATGTAAATGAGAATCAGCGAAAGGGGACATTAAACAAAATTAAATTCATTGTCTCCTTTAATGTCATTTACATTTTTGGCTAAGCCCCGGACTGTCAAAGAGGATTTCTAAAACCATTTTAATTGCACATCAGCATTGGTAAAGAGGGGTGTGTTTTCACTGAGCGGCTGTTGTGATAACTTGCAAAAGAGAAGCCTGTTTATGAAGCACCTAAATGACATGTTTTCACTGCATCTGCAGAGGTGCAATTAAGATGGCACTCGGTAGGTAGTGTTAATCTAGCACTGAGCTCCCACCATCCATAATGAAAATGATGCAGGGGATTGGGTCACTGTTGTTGTGATTGAGAGTTGATTGCTGCAGGTGTTCCTTCTGGATTTTTTACATTAAAGTGCTGAGCTGTGGGACCTGTTTTTTTTAAAGCTCAACAGTGAGTCATTTAAAGCTGTTAATTTGTATAGGAAACACTCACTTTCTATATTTACACACACGAGCAGACACCTGCTCGCACCTTTTTTTTATTTGTGGCTTAACAACACGTCCATCTCCGCGTTTAATTATATAAGGCTGCGGTCGCTGTAATTCCTGTGACAGATGTGAGTTTTTGACGCCCATTGAGAAATGGGAGAATAATCTGGCAACCGCTGCCTGAGTCGACGTGATGTTTGAGTGAAGCCTGTCTCCTCCCGAGCCAGGGTAGGAAGAGCAGGAAGTGTTGAGAGCGAAAGCTGTACTTGGCAGCACTCCTTTGGCTTGCACTTGCCGAAAAATGAAACCCAGACCCTCTCTCTGCGGCACTCAGAGCCAGAACCTCCTTCCCAAGCGCTCCAACATCCAGGATTGGGTAATACTGTTCACTAAGCAAAACATTACCTCAAATTATTCTCGCCCTGTATTCTATTCCCTCCTCCCTCATGTCGGTTTTTATCGCAGTTTGTAAATGTCAAGGCACGTACAAAGACGCACAGTATAAATGATATTTTCCAAATTATGCTCACATGTTTGGGTTCACATGAGTGGCGGCTGAACGTAACGTGGTGCCTGACGTTCCCGAGGGAGACCCACCTCACTAGGGTAGGATTCCCC